AGGAGGGAGGGGGGAGGGGGGAGGGGGTAGGAGGGAGGGATGAGTGGAGTGGGGGAAAGGGAAGAAGAGGTACAGGAGGAGAAGAGGATGACATGGGGTAAGAGTGGAAGAGGCAGAGGGGAGGAGCAGGAGGAGCAGCAGGGGGACAAGAGGAGGACGTCGGGGCAGGGAAGAGGGAGGAAGAGGAGAGGTGTCCTGATGTCCGAGCAGGGGAATATAAGGAGAGGAAAGGAGATAACAGCATTGGCTTCATCGCCTACTTTCGGTGAGAGAGGAGGGAGGTGGAAGGAGGAGCGAGGGGAAGAGGAGCGGGGGAGGGAGTGTTTAGGTAGAGTTTGAGGTAAGGAATGTTGTTTGGTCCCTGACAAGAATTGCAGTAACGGCAAGCCAGTCAAGAAATTTGACTTGGGGGAAGGAGGGGCAGGAGCGGGAGACGGATCCGCGCAATAGCACACAGCAGAGTGGAGGTAGAAGAGTTAGGAGGGAGAAGAGGAAGAGGATTCAAGCGCGGAGGATGTTAAGTTAGGGAAACGTTTTGTAAAGGAGCGATAAAATACTGAACCGTTCATGATGATGATGATGATGGGGATGATGATGATGATGATGATGATGATGATGATGATGATGATGATGATGATGATGAGGAGACAAGCGATTATGTTTTCCCACTTGTTTATAACCTTTCTGACATCTCAAATAATTCTTGTCAACCTGCAACAGGAACTCGACTCCTGAGACCTGCACTTGCTGTCAAAATTTCATCCTCTCCCATCACTGCTCCTCCTCCTCCCATCTCTTCCATCCAATCGTCTCCTCCTCCCTGCCATTCTTCTGCCCTCCTCCTCCTCCTCCTCCTCCCTCTCTCGTCTCATCTCACCTTTTGCTCTTCCCCGTATTGACGCTCTCCAGTGCGGCACCTGAGCCAAGGATGAGAAAGCAGCAGCAAGCAGAAAAGGCGACGGTCATGGTCGAAGAGGAGAGAGAGAGAGAGAGAGAGAGAGAAGAGAGAGAGAGAGAGAGAGAGAGAGAGAGAGAGAGGGAGGGAGGGAGAGAGAGAGGGAGAGAGGGAGAGGCAGAAGGAGAGAGAGGAAGAGGAAGGGGCGAGGGGGATGGAAGGAGAAACAGGTGGAGGTGAGAGCGATAGAGAGGAAGAGGTTGAGGAAGAAGTGGAAGGGGAGGCATGCATCGAGCGGCGGGCGGGGGAGGACAAAGATAAGTAGAAGATACCATATGGCGCAGCCACTTGCCAAGAGAGACCTCCCACCCTTCTGACAGACCCACACAAGATTCTTTGGAACTGTCGCTTTGAGGTACCGCAAGAAATTTGCCGATCCTCCTCCCCCATCCCTCGTCCTCTTGCGGTACATACTGCGGATCAGAGTTACCTTGGAAGGTTTCAAGGAGGATGAGGAGGAAGAGGGAGGAAGAGCAACGAGGGGGGGGAGAGAGAGGAGCAGGGGAAGCTACGAGGAATGGAGAGGGGCAGAGAGAAGGAGGAGGAACGAAGGAAGAGGGAGGAGAACAGGGGAGGAGGGAGGAGGGAGGCGGGAGGCGGGAGGAGGAAACAAGGAGACATCCGGTACTCACCCGTCGGATCCATGAATGCTCGAGCGCTTGTCGTGCAGTCATCCTCTTGGAAGGATCGAGTTCGAGTAACCCCTGCCAAAATCATTACCAACTCTCCTCCTCCTCCTCCCCTTCTCCTCCCTCCACCATCTGCCTTCCCTCCTCCTCCTCCTCCTCCGCCACATTCTCTTCCTCCTCCTCCTCGCTCCTCCTCCTCCTCCTCCTCAATCAAATCATCTCACCGCAATGAAGTCTTTCGCTTCATCGGATATGAGTGCATAATCTGTGGAAACGACAGGTCACAACCACACCACCTCTACCTCCTCCTCCTCCTACCAGGATAAGCATACTTTCCACTCTTGATCGCACACCCGATGTCGTATGACGTTGGCCCGCTGAAGGGCGGCTTGCAACAGAGCAAGATATACGACTGCAAACAACATGAGTTGACATGTCACTGCAGCATCAATTGATCCGTCACGCCAACGGGACACGACAGCATGTCTTGCAGTCAAGCAACACTCTCAACCACCACATCCTCCTTTCTGCTTTCGCGCTCCTCTTCCTCAACAGTTTGCACCAACAGAACTCTCGCATCCGATGAAAAGAATGTTTCCACTCACCATAACCCCCACAGCCCACAAGTCACATTCTGATGAATAACCTTGACCCGTCTCTTTCGCCATGAGCACCTGACACTCCTGTTCAGTTTCGACAGCCGCAAATCCAACACACGTCATGATGCGGCAATGATCGCAAGTGCAGATCAAGTTGAGGAGAGGCAGAAGGGGAAGATTAGATAACGGTCAAGACAAGACAAGACAAGACAAGACAAGACAAGACAAGACAAGACAAGACAAGACAAGACCAGATGAATGTGACACACATTCATACCTCAGGCGCGATGTACAGGGTCGATCCACATGCAGTGAACATGTCCCGTTCGTTCCCAAACTCCCTGCTAAATCCGAAGTCGATGAGCTTGACAACAGGATCCTTGTCGACGTTAAAAGGATCTTCGAACATGACATTCTCAAGCTGTTCCGAACAAACAAGTGAGCAACCACCATCTCAAACACGATCTGAGCTCACCTTCAGATCACGATGTACTACATGCTGAGAGTGGAGGTAGTCCACCGCGACCAGGATATGATGGACGATCTTGGCGATATGCTCCTCCTTCACCGTCAAGATCTCTGTTGTGTTGGAACGCCGCCACGATCGATCTCCGTTGGCATGGAAAGTTTGGAAGTCGTTTACAAAGTCAAAGAGCTCTCCTCCAAGGCATCGCTCCAGCACCAGACTCACGACCTCCTCTCCCCTGCTCCCCTTCTCTTTCATGACGTGCAGCAGTTTCACAACATTCCTGTGGTTCAACCGGCCAAGGATGCTGATCTCCCTCTCAATCCTCTTCAGGTTCACAACGTCGTCACTGTTGATCCTCGTCCTCTTGACAGCGACAGGAATCTCCCCATCCCCGATCCCCGCATGCACAGTGCTGAACGAGCCGAACCCGATCACATCTCCGATCTGCAGGCTCGTCAAGCTCTGTGTTTCCCCCATGTAGAAGTCGTCATGAAAGCTCCGCTGCTCCTCCCCTCCCCTCAATCTCAAAATCTTGCATCGTGTCGCTCCTCCATGCTCCGTCCTCCCTACCCCCATCACAGGAAACCTGCTGTCCACTTGTACAACGTACACGATGGCCACCAACAGGAACAAGTGCTTGCAAGTCATCTGTATCATCATGATGGCAACACAACCTGAGCTGCCCAGCTCCAAGAGCGTTACAGCCCTTGCTCAGACTCCAAACCCAACCTTCTGATTCTTTACCTTGGTCAGACTACTCACCAGGTTCCAAAACCCAAGAGGACTTCTCGCACAGATGTACCGTATGTTCATTCTTCCCCATCCCGCATTGTCTACCTCTTGCACATTGTTGGGTCACCAGTAACCAGCAGACAAGAAACGCTTGACACTGCAGGGAGCAAGTCAGGCTGCAGACTTGGGATCGAATGGCCTAACAATGAAACCAAATACAAAAAAATGCGTTTGTCTCACGAAAGAAAAGCCGAACATGCTATGCTCTTTCCGTGCTAAGATCTATCAACAAACTGACACGAGACGCTGGTCATTCCCAGCTTTGAAGATTCGGTTGGTTTCAGCAGAGCTTTCATGACAGAATTCAACGAACATATCTGGGTCGATCTAATAATTATGGTGGAATCGCCAACGACAAGAAACACGCAGGAATTCTTCACCGAGACCTCCTAACTCCTTGACAAAATTTCACGTAAACAGGGAAGGTTCCTAATCCACTGAATCCTGCCTGTCTTGCTATTGCACTCTGCCTCTCCTCCACTGATGAGGACTGTGAGTATCTACTCTCTCGTCCTCTCACCACAAAGCTCGCTTCCACACTCCTTCTCCTCAACCTTTCTGCCTAGCTCCTAAATTTTCTAGTTCGATCCGCATGGCGCCTGTACCCTACCCACCCCACATTTTGTTGTACCCCGATGTGTCCCCTTGCCCCCACCCCTACCCTTGGCACCATCAAACCCCCTACCCATGCGCGAATCAGTATAAAACTCATCTTTTTCCGGTACGTCTCCCACCCGTGCAGCAACCACCCCCACCCACCCAATTACTCCCGTACTTCAGTCATCCACAGACCCTACCACCCTACCCCAAGTAAAATGGCAGCGAACAGCAGTACCATAGCTCATTCAAGAAAACCCTCGACTACCCACATACTGTCTGTAAAAAGTACGGGCAGAACTTCCTTTAGACCACCCCCCACCCTTTTCCCTCACCCGCCTCAGGGGAAAGACACCTCTTTACACCATACTACCCCTCCATGAACCTTGAAGACCCCTCTCTTTATGACAAAGGTCCCTCCCCACCCCGTTCGGGACCAGACCAAATAACCTTGAATGGTCACCCCTACCCTCTGCTTCCCAAAAACAATATAATTATATATATCAAAAAATAATTTAACCCCGGGGCCCTCTGGTACGAATCTCCAAAGATCTCGAGCAATTACTACGAGGACCCCCACTTTTGGTACAACCTCGAATGACGAGATCACATCCTTTCGCTCAGATACCTTTGGACCCACAGTAATGATCTTCAACCATCCATACCCCTACCCTCTGTTTCTTCATTGTTCCACCCTACCCCTTGACGGAATCCAGCTTTTTGCTACCCAAAGGTCTGCAATATCCCAATATTCTTCCTTTGTATACTCCCATACCCCCTACCCCGTTCATCAACATTTTCGGCCCCACCCCTACCCCCTTATTGTCCCCGGGAATCTTTCACCACCAGTGCTTGCGAGCAGGCTGTGCAAACGGAATGTTTATACACGACACCCCATCCCCACTCCTGCTTCATCTCTATAAGCGAACTATAATGGAGAAGGGCATACCTTCTACCCATGGGATCATCGTGGCTCGTCTTGACGTCCTTTCCTCCACATTGTCCCTGCTCTCTGCGTTGTTGTTTTCTTAAGTGAGCCTCTAATGCCAACCCCCAGGGCCTGCACCTAATTTTCCAACAATACGTTCACTCCAGTCTGAAAGAGTGTCATTTCAGTTAACCCATCATTCCAAACCCCAACGCTCCGATTCTAAATGTTTTTAAATATTCGATCTTGGTTTATAAAAGAACCAGTGGAAAAACATTTGTTATCTTAAAATACCCCGGACATAAAACTCGGCCCCCGGCCTCAGGAGGAAATCATTGGCATATCCCTCCCATCACCCCTCTGCTCTACGATAAAACCAGGGGTACACAATTACGTAACTACCCCTAAAAATAATCAGAGATCTACCGGTACCCGCGGCCCCTGGGCCATAAAACCATTGGTTGCGACAAGACCTATTGGGACGTAGCTCCTAGAGGGGGTGGGTGCTCAGCCCTCGGTTATATAACTGGTTATTTAAAATGGCGGAATTGCGTACCATTTAAAACACTTTTCGATAATTCGTAACGAATACAGAGCCTGTGATAGAAATTTTAAAACCATGTAATGTTAAATATTATTTAGTGGTACTGTATCTTTTTTTAACAATCAGACAAACTTGGGGGCGAGGCTCATAACTGAGGCTCAAAGTCAAGTGACTAGTAACTTAGGCAGCTATGAGTTTGTACCCGGCGTACTGAGTTACCGTTGCGGCCCCGAGTACGTAGTACCGTACTGTACCCGGGCGCCGCGCGGCTAGGCCGCGCCGCGCTAGGCGCAGTGCCGCTTCCGGGAACTTGAAGCCCAGGTTCAATTATCAAGTTCAACACGGTTCTACTACGGCGGCACCGGGCCCGGCGGCCCGGGCCGGCGGGCCGCGTGGCCGCGGCGGCCCGGCCACTCAGCGGCAGGCCCTCCGAGGCTCGACGGGCCGGTGGGTGCGGGGCCCGCCCCCCCCGTGTCACGCCCGGTCCGACACTGACGAAGCGTTCCAAAGTTCCGGCACTGGCCGCCGCCCGGCCGGTTGCCGCCGCCCGGCCGGTTGCCGGGCGGGGGCACCTGGCAGGCGGCCGCTGAGGGTCACTGACCAGTAGGGCCCCGACGCGCCGGGCCGCTGAGTGGCATGATCGGAACTTCGGAAGGTAACCAACAGGCTCATAGTTCACAAGTTGATTAAGAGACAATCACGGAAGTTAGTCAAGTTGAGGAGCCAGCAGCCGATCGAACGACTTGACTCCCTTGGCAACTGATGTCAACCGAGTTGCATCGGATCAGTTGGGGTCTTGGTGGCCTTGACGTGGAGCGCAGCAGCTGGAACGAGGTCCTCCGCTGCATGAGCAGTTCAGTCGATCGTGATTGATGATCAAGGAGAAGGAGGTTGAAGGATACAGGGGAGCAATCCTCAAGGGAGAGGAGGAGGAGCGTGTGGAGAGGAGTGTCTGGGAGGGCAGAGCTCTCGACGACTACCTGGAGACTTTGGAGTGATCTCGGCCAGGAGCTTGTCCGCTGTCTGTGGCAGGATCCTCCTGTTGGCAAAGAAGTGAGCTGGGGCGAGGGAGGAGGGAGGAGGGAGGAGGGAGGAGGGAGGAGTGAGGAGGGAGGAGGGAGGAGGGAGGAGGGAGGAGGGAGGAGGGAGGAGGGAGGAGGGAGGAGGGAGGAGGGAACAGGGGAACAGGGAGGAGGGAACAGGGAGGAGGGAGGAGGGAACAGGGAGGAGGGAACAGGGAGGAGGGAGGAGGGAACAGGGAGGAGGGCGAATGGTCGAGGGAGTTGGGGACAGGGAGGAAAACGGAGAGGGAGAAGGGAAGAGAGTCGATGACCTGCAGTGCTGATGGAGTATAGCTTGTAGTTGTCTTGCCGCGATGGCGATTTCAGAATCCTCCTGGTTCCACGGTAAGGGAGGCAGTCGGATCGAGATGGAGAGGTTGGATGGGAGGGGAAGGGAAGGAGGATAGAAGGAATGCTGCGATTGCAAGCTATATTGCATGCGATGGGAGGAGGAGTGTAGAGCGAGTGATCAAGGGTAGCTGGATGCCCGGGCATGCGCAGATTGCAAGGAAGGAGAGCTTGCGGCAGGATGAAGGGGAAGAAAACTGGTCACAAAGTAGGGGCAGAGGAGGTGGAGGGAGAAGAGTGGGGGGAGGATGATAAAGTTGATGAAACGTGGAGCCGACCTTATTATACAGCATGGCGTTTCTAAAGATGACGTCCATATCCGAGAAGAACTCAACAAGGGACTGAAAGCGCCATTTCAATCATCTCCACACAAAGTTCTTCCTCCTCACCTTGTACTGTGCGCCCTCAAGCTTCTTCATGACGTTTGAGAGCGCCATAGGACGGCGGATCACGTCCTTGTAGTCCAGCGCTTGTCGCTTCGTGACCTGCAGCAGCACCGCGATCAGCTTCTCCTTCCGCGTCTCGTCTCATATCACAGGGTGATGAAAAGGAAACGCTAGAGAGTTTCCGCCGATATCGTTCCAGATGTCTAACATGTGCTCTACATTGCCGCGGTCAGTCAGAGCAGGTCGCGGCGTGTTAGGGGTCACCGATGGCTGCAGTCGTTAGAGCACTCCAGTTCTCCTTGAGATCGCCGTCCTCCCCTCCCCTCCTCTGCTTCGGTTGCGACATCCGGGGGCTCTCTACCTGTTTCTCCTCCGAGGTCTTGGACTTCATGCCGCGGAGGGAGGGCGAGGGAGGGACCTGCTTGCCTGACTTTCGCACAGGACGCTGCTCTAGCTCCATGTTGTTTTGTGGAGCAGCTCGTTCCTTAGTCTCATCTTGCCGCCCCCAGCTCCTGATGAAGTCGCTAACGGCAGCATGAGCCTGTTCCATGTCTTTCTCGGTCTCAGACTTGAAGGTCAGGATCTTGTCAGGCTTGTAGCTCTCCAAGGCTTCCTGTAAGACCGTCTTGACGGTGACTTCAGCACTCTCGCGAGCGAGCGAACAAAACATACCTGCATGATCTCACAGTCGACGTTCTCTGTAATCTGAAGCAGCATCAAGGATACAGCAGGGGACAGCATGAGACAGGATGGAGAAGCTGCGGGGAGAGGAAACGACAAACCTTCTTCTCTTCGTAGTCCCTCGCCTTCAGTCTCTTGTACAGCATCCTGCATAGGATGAGACAGTCAGTACAATCTCTCTCCTCACCCCGCGGCATGCGAAGCATCAAGAGCCATTCACCCGTTCTCACACGTCAGCACCACGACAAGGTCGAAGAATCTCTCGGGGAACCAGTTGGACCTGTCGGGAGGTCGCGAGAAGCATCAGGTTCGTCAGATGCTGCAAGTGCTAGGACAACAACTTCACTCACGAGTGATGCTCGATCAAACATCCTCCTAGTGTCACCCTGGGCTCAAGGCAGTCTGCCAGTCTTCATCACAACTCGTCATGTCGATCATCTGACGATCTCACCGAGGATCTTCTCTTCCGCAACGCTATCGAGGATGTGACAGTCACGATCTTCATCTCTCCCTCCATGCATCTCCTGCTCATGGGCATCAGCTTTCTCACTCGGCCTCCTCCTTTGAAGTTCTTTCAAGTCCCCTGCTCTCTTTCTTTCCTATCTCAATCTTCATCAGAATTGTTTTAGCTTCCTTGCCACCGCTACCACCACCACCTGCACCCTCCTGCACGTTCTATTGCTGCTGCTGCTGCTGCTGCTGCTGCTGCTGCTGCTGCTGCTGCTGCTGCTGCTGCTGCTGCTGCTGCTGCTGCTGCTCATCGTCGTTTTCTTGCTTCGACGCTGAGACAGAGGAGAATCGAGCTTCTTCCACCTCCTCCTCGCTAACGTCCATGAGAGTTTGGCTCACGTAGTTGGAGACGTTCTTCCCAGTGGTGCTCGTAACCACCGGCAATGATTGCAGGACTCCCTGTATCTGGTCCACAGTAAACTCCTGGACTTCCTCCGCAAGCTTGTAGACAAGGCTAGACTTGCGGTTGTAGGTGAAGGCGTTGGAGAAGATAAGCTCGAAGTCCTTGATGAAGTTCTTCATCCCAACCTTCCCGTCGTACTCATGGTTGTTGTACCTTGCCTTGATCATCGATAGAGACATCGGCTTCTTGACTATCTGGTGGTAGTCCGGGGCCTCTTTTCTAGTAACGGGGAGGAGGAAGGGATAGGACATGTTGTGCTTCTCAAACGCCTCTATGATCGCGCCCAGGTCGGCGTCCTCAACTCGGCGTCTGGAGGCGAGGGAGCGAAGGAAGGAGAAGATCTTTTGGCCGGTCTTGTCTTGAATCTTCTTGTACTCTAATTGAGCTCTTGCATCCAGGAAGTCTTGCGCGTACTTCCCTTCGAAGACCTGAAAATTTGATGTGAGTCTTGAGAGTCTTGAGAGTCTTGAGAGCTCAAGAAAGTCAGAGCAGCGATGAAAGGCAAAGAACAAGGCGAAAGAGGAGGAGCGGAAGAAGAGGGAGAGGAGAGGGAGAAGGAAGAGGAGGAGAGGAGGAGAGGGAGGAGAAGGAGTAAGAGGAGGAGGAAGGGAACGCGATTGTCTCTGTGAGCAGTAAGAAGGGCAAACAACAGGCAAGATGACGTTGAAGTCAAGTGAAGATCGGCATGACCTGGCTGGGGTTGTCTAACGCAAGCTTGAAGCGATCGACAAACTGAAAGCCGGAGCCATTGATGCTTCTCACCGGGACGATTAGAGAAAGCCTCTGATTGCGAATAAACCTCCTCTCTGCATTAACATCCCCTTCATCTTCGTCCCTCTCGCTCCCTTGTCTTATCTTGTTTCTCTTCAGCATCTGACTCCATGGGTCCATCGTGTACCACGGCCAGCACCAGCTCAAGGAGTTGATAATCTTCTTCCAGTTGTTCTCCTTGCCGTGCTCTAACACAGGTGGCAGCTGCTCTGACTGATTCGACTTCACCAAGACATTGACAACTTCTCTCAGTTTGTTCTTGAAGATGTTGTAAGTTGTCTCCGATGCCAACGTGAGAGCCTTGTGCGAGGCGTCCCTCCTGCATGCCATTGAGAATCGATCCCAGGTAACGAATCACAGTTAAATCATCCTCCTTGATCGTTTTCATCACCCACAGGTCAACTAGACATCCCTTTGCTTCTCCTGCCTTCTCCTGCCTTCTGCTTTCCTCTCCTCCCACCTAACACCGCCATCGGCTCACCTCTGTTTTGTCTCTCCGAGATACCTCCAGAAGAAGAGATGGTTCTTGAACGGGTTGTCACAGGTGAAGGGCGTTGGATCAGCGAGGTCAAAGAGAAATGGCGTAAGCTTGACTTCGCCCTTCGGAACCTGTAGACCTGCCTCGGACATCACCAGTTTCCCATGGCGGAAAGTGACGCATCTCAACCTGGTCGCAGACAGAAGCAGCAAGCAATCCTCGACCTTGTCATGCCGGCAGGAATGAGGAACCTAATTTCTCTTGCAACCACCAGACAGGACGTCTCGATGGCTTTCTGTGCTGTGGTAAGGGTTGGCTCAAGGATCGTTCCGATCTCCACGAACACAACACGGTCCTCCTTGTAGCAGTTCTTCACTTTCAACAAAACTCGTATCATCTGCATCTCGATATCAGTAGACTATTCACACTGTATTCCTTGCACCTCAGTCTCTTCATCCTCGTCTGCATAGAACAACCTTTCTAGATCGTACTCGTCAATCTCTCCCTGAGAAGCCAGCAATCTGGTTAAGCGACCGCGGTCAACGCAATGCCATCCCACCTTGTCAAAGAGCTGCACTGATTCCAGGTACTCAAACTGATGTAGCTTTTGAATCTGCATCATACCCCATGCTGCTTGCTGCATGAAGCTATCAGCAACAGACCGCAGGGATGAGCTGAGCACCTGGTAGAGGTCGAACTCGGAGATTATCCCTGACTTCGGGACCTCCCAGCCCAGGGCTCCCGGAAGGAAGAGTTGGACCTTGTCGTTGAACTCTGTCCACAATGCACATGAACTGAAGTCGCAGCAGCAGCAGCAGCAGCAGCAGCAGCAGCAGCAGCAGCAAGTCGACCTGGTCCATACTGCTGCTGCTGCAAGATGGACTCCGCGACAAGCGCAAGCTCTCCTCCGAGGCATGGAACGCTTCCTCTTTGCAAGCACCAGTCTGTGCGAGCACGAGGATACGTCATGATCCTGACAGACGGTTTGATCAGACCATGACGGGCTGGCCAGAACCATCCCTCACCTCCTTGCTGTCTCAAGCAACTTGATGAAAGTCTCCTCTGCTGCTAGGTCGTCGAGCGGTATCGACGTGTCCAGGGTGACCCTGTCCCTCCAGCACCTGACAAGCAGCAGCGTGTGAGGCAAGAGGAGATCAGAGACGAGGAGGGACCTCTGAGGGACCTCGTTGATAAACTCCTTGCCCTGCATGCAGATTATCTTCCCGTGTGTGAACCTTCTTATCTTCCTAGGAAGCATCGAGAGCTTTCCCCTCTCACTGCTCATGATCGTCTCCATCGCCTGCAGCTGCAGGCAATGGAGCAAGAGCACAAGGAGGAGGCAGCAAGCTGAGCTCTTGCGCATCCTCCAGCAGTAGGGAGAGTTTTGTACTCTTATCAGCATGCGTCTTCCAGCATGTGTCTTCCTGCCAGGGCCCGTTGGCTGCTGAGATAGTTATGATGTGACAGCTGCTAGCAATGCCGCATGTATGACCCGTTGCAGTGACCGGTGCACGTTCAACAGCAGAAGCTCTTGTCCAATATCTCAGATCAAACCCGCCGTTGTCAACCTCCTTGCTCTCCAGCTCCTGTCCCTTGCCCTCTCCCCCTTCCTCTTCCTCCTCTTCCTCCTCTTCCCCTTCCTCTTCCTCCTCTTCCTCCTCTTCTCCCTCCCCTCCTGCTCTCCTCCTCTTCCTCCCTCATCCTCCTCTTCTTCGCTTCATGATGCGACTCGTAAATGCCTGAACCAGGAATCCCGGACCTTGTTGGCATGTACGACCCCTACCATTGCACACCCTACCCTACAATTTACATATTTTTGTACCAGGAGTCTGAGGTCTGGTCATTTGACACAAGTACCCCTACCCCCATGGATGACAACCCTCATACCGCACATTTGAAAGGGGATGAGGGCCAGGAGGAGAGGCGAAAGGAGCACGTGAAGCTTCATGGCGATGCAGTGGCAGAGGGGGAGGAGGAAGGTGGAGCAGGAGCAGGAGCAGGAGCAGGAGCAGGAGCAGGAGCAGGAGCAGGAGCAGGAGCAGGAGCAGGAGCAGGAGCAGGAGCAGGAAGAGAAGAGGATCCACAAGCACAACGGGAGGGAGAACGAGGCAAGGGAAGTAGGGAGAGTTGTGAAGTAGGAAACATGCGAGAGGTGAAGGAGAGTGGGCGGGAGGGAGTGAAAAGGCGACGCAGGCGCAACAGAGGCAGCTGAAAGACAGGGTGGTGGATCACTCAACGTCATGCTCTTGCTGAATGCCACAAAGTAGCTGTATCATTCTACAACTGCAAACTACATAATCCATCTAGATTGTTCCTTGATGGATCACGCTTTGTGTTGAGTAGAGCCGAGGATCGATCAATGACAGGAATGGAGACTCGTTGCTGACTCGCTGCTGACTTGCATGCTAGGGACGAGGAGTCGAGCTGAGATTGCATGAGAAGACGCCAAGTCTGAAGAATGAGTGCAGAAAAGCAAGACGACGAAGTTCCGGCTGTCGACGGTGAAGCTATCTGCAAGCAGTTGGGCTCCTCTGTTGTCGGGGCGGTGCGGGCCTCCAACAACCTTCCCTCCTCTTCGGACTATGCCTTCTACAGCACCTTCGCCGCCTTTAAGAAGCGAGTAGCCAACAAGAAGAAGACAGGCCAGCTCGAGAGCAGGATCCTGTCGGTAGTCAGCAAGCTTGTGTCGCATGTAGAGGGAGGAGGGGGCAGGCAGGAAGAGGCGGGGTTGCCGGGGGAGCCAGAGGACTTGCTGGAGAGGGTGGTGGACTTTGCTGAGGCCAGGCTGGAGAAGGTGGACAACGTGATCGACGAGCTGACCGGGAAGGCGCCGAACGCAGAGGAGATCGCCCTGAGAGCACAGGCAGGGAAGTTCAAGCAGACATCAAAGATCAAGACTCGGCCCGAGGACCTGGGGATTCCGAAGCCTCAGCAGAAGTTCGAGGACGTAGTGGACAACTCCAACACTCCCTTCAGCGCCAAGAGCTGGCCCAAGGTGCACGGGAGGGGTGACCATGTACTGTCGAGCGGAAGGCACCCGTATGAGGAGGAGATCGATGGGATCGAGTACCAGCCCTACCACTTCCTCCCTCAAGGGGAAGTGGCAAAGCCCAGGGACATGGCGGAGACGCCCTTCAGTTGGGTGGCGACGGAGAAGGAGCTGGTTGACATGCACAAGACGCTGTCGGGCTGCAAGGAGTTCGCAGTCGACCTCGAGCACCACTCCCTGAGGTCGTTCCAGGGGTTCACCTGCCTGATGCAGATCTCGACCAGGGAGCAGGACTTCATAGTGGACACTATCGAGCTGAGAAGCTGTATCCACCTTCTCCTGCCTGCCTTCACAGACCCCAAGATCACCAAGGTGTTCCATGGCGCGGACAGCGATGTGCGCTGGCTGCAGCGAGACTTTGGTCTCTATATCGTCAACATGTTCGACACAGGGCAGGCAAGCCGAGTCCTTGAGTTCCCTTCCTACGGCCTTGCTTACCTGCTGCACCGTTTCTGCGAGGAGGAGGCTGACAAGCAGTACCAGCTGGCTGACTGGAGGGTCCGGCCCCTGACACCTGAGATGCTCAAGTATGCCAGGATGGATACGCACTACCTGCTGTACATCTACGACCAGCTGCGGCTGCTGCTAAGGGAGCGAGCGGCGGGCTCGGACCAGCTTGTGAAATCTGTCTTGTCTCGTTCCAACGATGTGTGCAAGTTGCAGGTGGGACGACAGGAGGGGAGGAGGGGTGGAGAAGAAAGGCGGGGAGGGGAAGAAAGGGAGGAGGGGAGGGGAAGAAGAGAGGAGGGGAGGGGAGGAAGGAAGGAGGAGGGGGGGA